AAACCATTCACCAGAAAGCAGCACATGCCAGTGAGAAGATTAATAGCCTCGTTTGTAACCCAATTTGACTTCATTTTAAAATTTCCTTTTTACTGCCAGTTTTCTTTTTTAGTAGCTAGTAGTTCTTGCCAAGCTCTACATTAAGTAGGTTGTTTGGGATTTTATTTTGTTGTTGTTTTATCAGCTCTGATTTCAGATTGAATCACAAGCTAATTGCCTGTGTGGTATTTTGCCAAGACCTGCCATTACCCATGTTTAGAGATGCAGACTGAAAATCACTGCAGACTGATCCCTAGCCTCTTAAAGCCTGGTATTGTTTAATTGGAGCCTTCCTGCAGCAAACAGACTCAGGGCTGTCTAAACTGCATAGACTTCAGCAGTTCTTAACATGAAATGGCTAACTTACAGCTTTGGATTTAGTTTCCTCTACTTGTTTGTAACACAGGAGGGAAGAAATAGTTATGTTATCAAGCACAGAGTTCTGACTGGTCTTACTGTTGAAGGCCAGCTGAAGGGTTTACATGTGCTTAAGCCAAAGCTGTTAGCCTCTGGGTGTGGTAGATGTTAAGTAATTGTGTAATTAAAGTCCATGACATAATGCATCCTGGAAGTTTCAGAGAAAACCTTCACTTTCAGTCTGAACCCTGCTGAAATCCTGAGTTTGCATTCTCAAGTCCACAGCTGCTTGGACTTCTTCTCACTTTCCATAGGTTTACCAGGAGCATGAAGTTAGATAAGCCTAAGTGAGCACAGCAGGCTGAGAACGCTACACAGGGTTCTGTGTGAAACTTGGTTCTTTCAGTCAATAGAATTACCTGTTGCGCAGCCACGTCACCGTATTTCTAGGAATAAAACTTCTTGCTGTGATTTGGGAGTGGAACCACAAATTGGGTGGTTGGAGAAGACAGATGTGGTTGCAAGAAGAGGTTTGGGAAGAAAGGGTATGCTGCAGTCAGGTAAAGGCAGTCAGCATGGAAGCTCAGAGCTCCCCGTGCAACCAGATCAACATGCAGCATAGCTTGTGTGTGTTATTTTCTAATGTAAGCTGTTGCATTTTACAGCATGGACACCTTTTACTTTCCTTCCACTAGATAAAAGAGTTTGGGTTAATTAAAAACAATGTGTTCCTTTCTTTCCAGGAAGTTCTATGACAGATATATCCCAGGCAGCCAGGGACCGGTGAGTAACACAGACTTCTGCAGAGTAACTGAACTTAGCACTAACAAATTAATATCTGGAAGCAAATGGTTTGGAAACCTTTGTTTTATGCAGCATTGCGCAGTGAGCATTGATGATGGAGAAATCCCATGTCGTCCTCCGTTGTTCCTGTTAATGTTACTCGTGCTCATGTGCATGCTAGAAAAATTTGATAAGTTTTTTTTCCAGAAAACCAACTAACTTGGAGGAACAGAATTAATTTTATTTCGTATTAAGTCCAGTGCCTGAAAGTCTGAGCTACCACATGCCCAGGAAAGACCTGAAGAAACTACAGCATGGGAAATTTCAGTTCCCACACAGGGTCTTTTGACTCCAAAATGCTAAAAATGAGGAATTTTTTTTCTATCTGAGCACTGTTGCTGCATGTTGCAGATTAAAGCAGGTCTTGAGTAACTTCTGGAGGATGTTAGAGCTGGTGACAAACAAAGCTTTCCTGGTCATCAAGACTCCAGGTAACCAGTGGGTGGCATACTGGTGCTAAAAGCACTTCTTTTAAGTGGACACTTTAATGTGAAATACTTCAGGTCTGTGGAACTGTCTGATAGTTTAGCACCAGCCTCTGCCCAGAGCAGCTACAGAATTTACACACAGCACGTGAGCCAACACTGGCAATGGATGTAGTTGGAAGAATTAAGTCCTGATGGAGCTGAACTTAAATTGTCTTTTGCAGGGCCTGCGAGAATGTCTGCTTCATTGGGAGACCGTGGAGGATTGTGGATGGGAACCTGAATAAACCTGTGTGTAAAGGGATGATGGAAGCCGTGCTCTATCACATAATGACAAAACCAGGCATAACAGAAGGCGCACTGCTGCAGCATTACATGGGGGTACTGCAGCCTGTTGCTGTCCTTGAGATACTGCAGGTATGTGAAGCACCAGCTGTGTGAACTTTTAATCTGGTTCAGCTTCCACACAGAAGAGTCAGCAACTACTTTGCTGGAAGTCCCAGGGAAACGGGATTCTGAACAAACCATAAAAAAAATCCTCTCCCCTTCCTAAAGTAACTAAAGCCAGAGCAAGTTACTGTTCACAATGAGGGAGGAAGGAAACCTGCTTTACCTGTCACTGAAATGACCATACGGCTGATTTTAAAATTTGAGCTTGCTTCTGAAACAATGTACATGCAGTTAAAGTTCTAGTTGGTTTCTGAAGTGGTGGCTTGTCATTGTGAAATACCAAATTGGACTGTTTAATACAGTGTTGATCACTAGAGTTTAGCTTTGTTTTTCCCTTATACACCTTTCAGATGAGTAATCTTTAATGTAAGAATCAGACTGAGCTGTGTCTGTGCTAGACAGCACTGTAAATAAGACCTTCTGTCCTGACAGACCTGCTTAGAGGCACTTTTCCTTAATTATGAAACATTACACGGAGAGAAAAATTAGAGTCTCTCATCTTTTCCCCACATCTTGAAGTTTGATTGCTACCACCACTGCTATTTTGCAAGTGAAATCTTTATTTGTATTTTTTTTCTGTAAGTATTTAAAATCTTAATCATAGCAATAATATTGCAGTCCTTCCCATAAGCATGGCTTCCCCTGCTAATGCTGGAAATCAGTCTTCCGTCATACGTACGCCACACTTGTCCAAAGGCTTGTACTTTTTGGTAACAAGGCAAGTTGTGTACCCTACCATCCTGTTTCCCAGGTGTTCCAGCACAGCTTATCCGTAGGTCCTGTGCTGGAGCAACACTACCAGGAGGGAAGCTGGGACGAGGGGACAGGCTTAAAACTGCAGTAGAACATACAATGGTGAGGCATGCATATGTGGGAATGAGTACAGATTCCTCAGCAATTTTAATTCAAATCCACAAAAACAAGCAGTTACCTGTACATTTTACAGACTGGAGGACTTGAGTCTAACTTCTCTACCAATAAACTTGGTAAGACTTGGCTTTGAAACCACAGACAGAGCTTGTATCTGTAATATACCAAATATTAGTAAATCTAGGTGCATACCTATGTCAGATGATTTAATATACACCAGGTGTTTTCAGCAAATAGAGCACATAAATGACCTTGGTGGGTGGTGCCATAAGAGTAAATACCAACCCATTAGCAAGAACTGACCCCAGAGTCTGGGATTTACATTGATATGGCCTGAAATCATTTGCAACTGGTCCTCAATGTTGAAATACGTTGTTGAATGCATGTTCTGTCTCAGCAGCCAAATGTCAGCCACTGCGTTAACATCTGTAAGAAAGCATCTATCCACCTATGGGAACTTGCTTTGCTGTGCTGTGAACTTTGCCACCCCAGTGGGGGATGGCACTTCACCTGAGGGGGTGAAATGAAGCCACTTGCAGTGTAAATTAGTATAAATTGGCCAACATTTCACAGAACAGCGTTCAGTGCATTTGTTTTTACCACACTCGCTCAAGCTAAAGGTGTGAATTTTTCTGCAGGGTCTGGAAACTCTCGGCTGCATCACACGATTCTACATGAAAAAGCCATCCCCAGTGTCGCTCTTTTCTCAGCCAGTTATCGAAGAACAACTGAACAATCCCAAACTGAGCGAAACCCCAACAATACACTATGAGCCTACGGTAGACTGTACTCTTAGGCTGGGAAGAGTGTTCCCCTCTGAAATGAACTGGAATAAATGGGTGCAGATTATCCCTGTATAAAAGAGGCAAAGCTGAGCCCTCTTAAATGGGTTTAGCCTGTAGGAGTGTAAATATGACAATCTGCGCTCCATCATGTTTTTTTTAAGTTATTTATCATTTTTAATTGTGAATGTATTTAAGATGAGAATAAAGCTTAATGTTAAGATGCAGGTATATTTATTTGGTCCCACTTTCAGTACCTTCTCTTTTTACCAGTAACTGCTTGTGGAGCATGCAGTTTGTAACTTCTCCTTTACTTTACAGGGTTTTCACAAGATAGCAAAGGCTCCTTTTTCCTTGTCCCTTTAGGGTCACAGCGCTAACAGCTCACCTTTGCTTTTCCTTCCACCTGGCAGCTGTGCTAAGGTAGGTAAGATAACCAAGCGAAAGGTTTGTCTATATTTTACACACTGGTTTCTTGGCATATGCGGTATTAGTTTATCATCTGTTTTTAGCAGCCGCTGTGCTGTGCGAGGCAAGAGCCCTGCACCCCTCCCCTTGCTGCTTTCAGCAGTGTGTCAGCTTTACCGAGGACAGTTTTAAAGCAACCACAGCACACAGTTCCTTACACCCAGTGACATGTTTATTGCCGCAGACTCCCCCTTTTTCTCCCCAAATCCCATCGGGCCTGTGCCGCGCCTCTTCCCTCAGCCCTGAGGCGGGAGCGGAGCGGGGCCCTCAGTCCCGCCACCGGTGCCCGCACTGCGCGTTGCAGCACTTGTAGAAGGTGGTCATGGGCTCGTCGGCCGAGCGCGTCTGGATCTGCATGAAGTAGGCGCGGGGGTGCTCGCACTTGGGGCACGGCTCTGCGGGACGAGGCGCGGCGCCGTGAGGTGAGGCCCACTCCTTCACCGCCCTCGCTCCCGTCCCGTCCCGTCCCTACCTGCGGTGGAGTCCACGTTCTCCCAGGCCGCGGCGCCGCCCAGCACGTCGTCCACCTCCTTGAGCCGCGGGTACTTCCTGCTCGTCACCTGCGGGACGCCGCCGGTCAGTCCGGGTCCGGCCCCGCGCCCGCCCCCCCTGCCCCGCGCCCTGCCCGCCCGGCACCTTCCTCGTGACGTTGCGCACGTAGGGGCAGGTGGTGCAGGCGAAGCGGTGGCAGCGCGGCCCCTCTTCGGCCACCAGCACGTTGCCGCAGGCCGGGCAGAAGAGCAGCATCGCCGGTTCCGCGGCGCCGACCGCCCCTTCCGGCGCGACGATGGCGGCGGCGGAGCCCGAGGAGGAGCTGGCGCACGCAGAGGTGCTGGAGCTCTTCCAGGAGGCGCTTGCGCGCCTGGTGCGAGACCCGCTGCTCTGTGACCTCCCGCCGCAGGTAGGGCCGGCGCCGCCGGGGGCCGGGCGGAGGCCGGGGTAGCGGTGGCGGGGCTCAGGCCCGCCTCACTCGCCGGCCGCGGCCTGCCCGCTCGCAGGTGACGGCGGAGGAGATCGGCTCGCAGGTGGCGCTGGAGTACGGGCAGGCCATGACCGTGCGCGTCTGCAAAGCGGACGGCGAGACCGTGCGTGCGTCCCGGGGCCGGGGGGCGGGAGCGGGCAGGGGCCGCGGGCCGGGCGCTGACGGGGCTCTTCGCCCTCCGCAGCCGTGGTGGTGGTGCAGAACGCCTCGGTGCTGGACCTGAAGAAGGCGCTGCGGCGGCACGTCCAGCTGCGGCAGGCACGGCAGGGAGGCGTGCAGCACCTCAGCTGGTGAGCGGGGCGGGGGGCTCCGGCTGCACGCACGCACCCGTCGGCAGCACTCCCCCATGGCCTAAGCGGTTTTGCCCTAGGAAGTACATATGGAGGACGTACCACTTAACCTACGGCGGAGAGAAGCTGGCAGATGATAGAAAGAAGCTGCGAGAGTGAGTAATACAATCTCTTCTGGGGGCTGGAGGGGCCGCGCTGGAGCACACGCAACATTGGGACTTTGTGCCTGGCTCTGGTAGCTCCTGCACTTGAACAGGACCAGCACTGCACACACAGGTGGGACAGGCCCTGCCCTGGCAGACCACCTGCAGGACAGGAAGGCCTCAGGCAGTTCCTCAGTCACAGCCCTCCTGTGCAAAGTGTGCACCTCCAATTCAAATCACACCAAGGTACTTAAGAGTAGAACACAGAGAAGGCCAGGGATGGTGTCCTGTGCACAAAGCACATTAGTTCAACTCCCAAGGAAACTGGGAGCACTTGGGGAGCAGCTACTCAGCAGAGCATGGGGTCAGGTCACATTGTATTGTGGAGGGGACCAGGAATGGAAGGAACCCTGGACAACTTGCGCCAGTGCTCCCATCACCCTCACAGAGGGCTAGGCAGAGCTGCTGAGGTAGGGAGGAAGAGAGAAGAATGCCAGGCAAAGAGTGTTGGGGTCTGGACTTGCTCAGCCACAGAGAGGATCTACTAACAACACTTACAAATAACTCCCATGTTTCCATTCTCAGGGCAAGGAGGCAGGAGGTGCTTCTGAGCACTCTAGCAGTTGCATACAGCAGTGCTGGGTATGCCAGCCTGTGTGCAGACCAGCAGGACAAGCTTGTCTGAAGTATTAAAAATTTAGCAAGACAGCCCTACTAAAAGCTTTCCTTAAAAGACTGAGCCATGGGCAATAGATTTAAGGGGTTGTTGCAGTTAGAAAGGCAGATAATCAGATCCTTAGTGCTGGCAGCGTGTTCTACATACACAAATAAGAAATTGTCCTGCATTAGAGCATAGCAAGCATGTTAAGAGTCCATCTTGCCCTGGGAAAGAGGAGGCTATAGGTGTTCAAAGGTTGCAGTTCCTGGTTAACTGGCACATAACAGCATAACTGTCCTTCAGGTATGGCATCAGAAACCGGGATGAGGTCAGCTTCATAAAGAAGCTTCGAAAGTAACCTGTCAGGTAAGTCCTGAACATCCATTAGAGCTACCACTTCTTCATCTGTCTCTTCCCCAGGCCTTAGTGTTCCAGCTCAGAGCAGCCAGTGCTGCTGCTCTCTGCTACACAGCAGGGCATTACTGAAGGCATGTGTCTGGGTTAGGCTTGCACTCTATGGTCTGTTTCCATATCCTGGTTGTGTTGTGCATATTTTTCTCTGGCCAGAGAATGACAATTCAGCTACTTCAGTTAACATGCAGCAGCAGCAGTATCTTGACAGTGATGTATCTCTACCCCTACTTTATGTTTAGACTCTGAATCTTCTCTAGCCATGTCCTGAGACTGATTAAATGCAGTGTTCTTTTGCTGGTTTGACTGCTTCCAAGGCGTTAATTTTAGCCTTCTTGAATGTCTGTAAATCACTGTCAGGAACGTGGCTGGGTGCTAACTCATCCCTACATTGCTGTAGGCAATTGCCATCACTCAGGTCATTTGGGTCCTTTTGTGTGCCTCAGGCTCTCATACCCACATGGCTGTTCTCCCACCCTGCTCCGAGTGCACCTGTAACTAACAGAAATGTCCCGTGGGTACACATAAGCAAATGCAGCAAGCAAACAGAGCGCGTTCTTTGCTGTTCCATTGTGAGTGTATCTTGAGCCATTTTTCTCAATTACAATAAGGAATTAGGAAGAGGGATGTCAGCTTACAGATCCAGTTTCTCTATTTCTGGTTTCTACAAACCAGAGTTCAACCAAGTAATTGTTCTCAGAAGACAGGACACACCATGAGACTTCTGGTCCTGATATTTCTGTGCAACTGATGCATTCAACAGGAAGCACTAGCAGCATGTATATTCACCTGTTTGTAATCTATATAGACATGATTCTGCTATTATGCTGCTATTTTTATAAAGTTGTGCACACAAACACAAGATGTGGCCAAGACTCCAGCTTAGTTATTTTAAAATCATCTCTGCTTCCTCTCCGCATCTGAAAATAACAGGCACAGTGGCTGAGTAGTGGCAAGAGCAGCTTTTCCAAAAGCTCGGGGTTTTGTTTTGTGGCTCCAGGTAGCTGCATTAGAAACTGTTGCTTTGTGACCACAGTAACCTTTTTTTCTTCTTAAATGCATCCAGTGTAGTAAAACGTGTGCTGTAACAGAAGCCATCTGCCCCTGGTGCCTGTGACCAGCAGTGACCTATGGCACTGGCTGATCCACCCCAATGGAGGTGTGGTGATAAGAGAGCCCAGCATGCAGTAACTATTGTCACTGCCAAATATACTGTTTCTTAACAGAGCACACAGAGAATCCAGCCCTACCAAGAGCAGAGTGAGGATCCGACGCTGTCCTGGAGGAGAAGGTGGTAACGTCAAAGAGAAACAAATTCCAGTTGAAATGGACATTTTTTGCAGTTGCTGTTTGAAATGTCTGTTTCTGAGCTCTAAGTGGAATGCACTTGCAGTGATTAAAGAGGCTCTCTTTTTTTTTTCTGAGGCTTTTGAGGCTCTTATTTCCAGCTGCAGGTCTGTCAGATGCTAGAAAGGATTGATTCTAGTGGTACATGAAACAGCACAGCTGAGATAAAGTAACAAACATAGCCACAGACTATGCAGAACAATTAACAGTAGCTAAAACGCTACCTTACCATTTAATCACCACCTCAGCAGTAGTAAACAACTCTGGTTAAAAATGTAGTATTGAAACTAGTGTAATAAAAATAATGGCAGCAGAAAAGGTTCAATACAATTGAACAAGGCACAAACGTTCCGTTTTCAGATTCTTCTGAGATAAGGCAAAAACATGCCTGCCAAGTGCTAAGGAGACAGTTTAAATTAACCACGGGCAGGGTTAGAAGTGTCATTGGATTAGAGGCTTTGTCCACATGGAACTGGCACAGCAAACGCAAAGACATCTATCTCCAGTGCCTGCTCGAGAAGCCAGCCTTTGCCTTTCAGTGGAGCTGTGCATCCAGGTCGTATTTCTCGCAGAATTTGTCTGTGAATGGTATACAGGTGAGAAACTCGCACCACTCGCACTTGATGGGGTAGAAATAGAACAGAATCACGAGTCCTGAGAAGAGTGCAATGAAGATGAGCTGGAAAATTATAATTTGGCATCGCTTCCTATATAAATCAAACTTTCCAAAGCTAATGTAGGGCAGGAAGGCAAAGGAGAGGAAGAAACCACTGATAAATCCTGAAATGTGAGCAAAATTATCAATCCAAGGCAGAAGGCCAAATGCAAAAAGAAAGAGCACCACAGCCAGCAGCTTGAAGAAGGCCCTCCATGGGCGTGCCAGGATTTGCCAACTCTGGAAGAGCTCCACAAAGAGACAGGCCAGAATCCCAAACTGGGATCCTGCAGGGCCAACCTGCAGAAGAAGAGCATTACAGGTAATATCAGGCACATGCCATCTGCCTGGCTTCTGTAGCCAGCCCCAGGCATTACAGTTACTAGTCATTCAGGTCCTTGCTCAGAGTTGCTGGGGAAAGAGATGCTGCAGTCTGCAACTTCATTCTTACTCCCTGAACCTGTTATAAAGGAGCCAGGTTTTATTTAGGATCAAGGTAAGTGTGAGGCCAGCAATCACCAGAACAGACTTTCTATTGAAGGAGGACAGATCTGGTTCAAGTCACCAGAAGGGATAAGCCCTTGAGGGCAATCTCTTGACTCCCACCACACACTTTTCCTTAAGGGAAGTACCTGGAAGACAGTTCTCCAGGTTCTGCCACACAGCCTTCTGAAGACAGAGAGTCAAATCAGACTTTTCCAGCTGTGGCATGTGGACAGGGACAGTCCTAGACAGTCTGTGGGAAAGGTGAACTCTGCTCCTTTCCCCTCTCCTGCCTGCCACTCACACGTGGAGGGGCTCTGGCACTAGCTACAGCTCTCAGTTCCCAGCCTGTCAGGGCCCCCTCTTACACTGTGGTTGGACAAACCCCTCACTCATTACGAGAGGCAGCCTTCTTACTGTGGTCAGACTGGGCCAGTCACTTGGAAAGCCCAGGTACTCTGGGGGTGTTACTGTTCAGCAGCTAGATGTACAATGCATGTGCTGCAGAGACTGAGTCCAGCTCTGGTGTCTCTGCCTCTGGCATAGGGGCACAGGCATGTATGGAAGACTTGTGTTCATGGTAAGTTACCAGGACCCTAGTCTGCAGGAGACCCACCTCTGCTCTGTAGGGTAGAAATATTGCACTGGCAAGGTTCCCAGTGATGCCACTGAGAAGGTAGATGATAGAGATGCGATGCCATCCTGCCAGCTTCTCTAGGTCCCGCAGGATCGTCATTTGGAAACAGACTGAAACCAGACAGTGCAGGATCCTGCCAAGTTCAGAGTACAGGAGCTGAAGCAGCAGACACTGAAGTCACCCCTGTGCTTGTGTTCTTTGCTAAGCCTGGTCTGGCCTCACCCACACCACTAATACCCCTCCCAGCAAACACAGCATGGTAAACCTCAGCAGGGACAGCAGCTCAGCAACCCCTCTGTCTCCCAAGGAAGGGACTACCACAACAAGCCTCATAGCAATCCCAGTGTTCAGGGCTCCCTCACCCAGATAATTCAAGTTCTACACATGTGCTTACCCAGCATGGAGGAAAAGTGAGAGCCAGAGGCGGTAGAACTGGTCAGGGACCTCTGGATTTAGGAAAGGGAGGAGTCCACAGACATCATCCATGCAGTGCACCTAGGGCAGAAGTGTGGTTGTGAAGAGCCAGCCAGCATGACTCTTTACAAAGCCTACTGCAGAGACTGCAGTGAGTTCTGAAAAGGCTCTCTTCCCACTGCTGTATCAAGTCCCAGTCCGTGTCTCCAACATCAAGTTACACATGACCCATTCCCTTTGGCAGCTTTATGCCCCCATTCTTCACTCCAACACATGCACAACTGAGACACTGCACTTGCTCACCAATGCAGCAAGAAGGTTCAATTCTGCCACTGCTTCAGTCCAAGTCCTAAACTGGTCTTCAGTGAGAGACAGCTGGCTGTAGTGGCAGCCAGCTCTGCCACTACAGTCTGGATCATCAACTTCCCCCAGACTCCAAGTGGGACAGGACACAGGACTCCCAGTCACACTGCAGCACAACTGCCCCTAAACCTTGCCAAGCCACTAAGGGGAACAGGAGGGGAAAAGGCAGCCATACAGCCCCCCAGCTCTTCACTTACCTGAGAGCAGAGTGTTGCCTCTTCATGGAAATAGCCCCGCATAAATTCACAATATTCCCGGGAGGTTATTTCACACCTGTAGGAGGCACAAGTAATCAAAATAAGGAAAACCAAAAATCACACACATGGAAGGTACAACAGGCCATCCTGTGCCCTCCCAGATGACCCACTCCCTGTTGTCTCAGCCCACGTCTGCCTACAAGAACGGATGCCTTCAGCTGCCCGTGATGTGCTGTAGTGTCTCTGCAGCAGATGTACTAACAAACACACTCCCAATCTGAGGCCAGTGCTACTCCCCACTGACCCCTCTTGCTTCTCTCTCACAGGCAAGCCTGAGTGACCTTCACAGACTAATGCCCTGCATACAGGGGCTCTAAAACAGGTCCTAAAGCTGAACTATCTTCAGCTGAGAAAGAGCCACTAGAGCTCAGGGAAGCTGTGTCTCTGGGGCTGGGGGAATCTTGTGCCTCCATAACTGACACATGAAAGGGGGAGCTAGGCCAAGGGTGTCCTGGTCATGACTTTCACGGAGAGAGAAACTTCTTGCAGCAGCACTGATTTTTCATCCTAGCAGGAAAAGCCAGGCCAAAGCACAGGGTAACTAGTTAAGCTGAGAAGCAATGCAAGGAAGCACAGCATCTTCCTCCCTGGCAAACCACCTCCCCGGCATCTCCTTGAGTGCTCAGGGACTCCACACTGCAGCCAATGTAGCCTACTGGAACCAAGCTGGCCATTCCCAAGAAAAAGCACAGAACTCCCCAGCAGAAGTATTTAATCCCTTGGGATGTGAGTCCCTCCAGACTGCAAGGATCAGTTTAGTGAGATACACTACTGCACTGAAGACTCAGTCTGGCTGTTATCCCTGCTCATCCGAGAGCACCTCTCCATCTGGGAGACCTGTTATGGCTCTCTGTGCAACTCCCCTTCCTAACAGGGTTCTGGGCTGTGTGTGGGAAGGCCAAGGAGGACAAATGGCTGCACCTACAAACTGGAAAGGGCCCGTGGTGTCTCACCCCAACACTCAGCTCCTCTCCGTACAGGTAAAACTCATTACCTTCCTTTGGTCCCAATGCAGCAGGGCCGGCCTGTAATCACACAGTCCATGTGAAGGTGGTTGGTGTAATTCCCAGCACTGTTTTTCGTGCAGATCTGCAAAATGACAACAGGCTGCAGTCAGGCAGCCATGGCTTTGCTTGCTGCCTGGGTAAAGTCAACATAGCCCCTTGGGAAGAAGCCAGCGTTCCCAAGGCCTCCTTGTGACAGCAGGATAGTGCCTGACAGTCCATCTGCCCAAGCCACAATCAACACCTCATCTCTGTCAACGACAAAAAACAGCCCCGAGGCTGAGTTGGTCTCCATCATCCTGTTACCCTGCCAGGGCCCAGCACTTTAGCTGGCACAGAGGAACTTTAGCTGTTAGAGGGCTTTAAGCCTTGGCTAGACAAAGCAATGGCTGCCCTGATCTGGTGTCTGCAACAACAAGCAGGAGGCTGCACCAGAGACCCTGCCCTTCCACCAACACAGCTGTGGCTCTGCACAGTGGGATGCAAATGCCATATTCCAGCTGCCCAAACAGGCTCTGTGCCACCAGCGATGCTCACCGGCCATTTGGTGATGTCATCTGGCCACTCATGTGGCTCCATCGAGGCTGGCTGCTCACACACCCTGCAGCAACACAAAGCTGAGATCAGCCTGAGAAATAACTCTCCCCAGCACCAGATGCCCCCAGGAACCACCACACTGTCCTTGCACCCAGGCTGTGGTCCCACAGCTCCCCTCTGTCCCTGGCAAGGGGCTGGTGATATGCTACATCAGATCAGCCAAGGCTGTGTTGATCAAAGCTGCAGCCTCCTTCCAGCGAGCAGAGATCATGGCTCCACAGCACAAAGGCAGCTATCTGAGAGTACGCAGCTGCCCAGAATGAACTAGCTTCTTCCCAGGTGGACACAACCCCAAAGGGGGGGCATTCAGAAGGTCTCAGCTCTACATCAGCCCATGGTGGCCAAGGACAAAGGTGTGCCATGGCACCCGGCAGGGCTCTGGGGCAGAAGTGTGCTGGGAAAGTGACTGCTGTACCCCAAGAAGGAAGCTTGTGTGGGGAGCAGGTGAGGAGGGGCAGAGGGATGAGAAAGGCACCCACAGCTCACAACAGGACACTGTGCAGGCCAGCAGCCAGCAACAATGGAGATTAGGGGTGAGCAGAAATATCATGCTCTGTCTTGGCCTCCCCCTGAAGCTGTTGGGACAAGCAGGGACATCACTGACCTGTCCCCTGGTCTCCAGAGCAGCTGCTACCCCATCCAGCAATCAACTGGTGTGGGACTTCCTGCCTCTTACTGTACTGTCACAGCAACCTTGTCCCCACAGGATGGCAGCTGGGCTAAGCAGGACCTACCTGGGGTCCTGATGACAAACAGACCCAAACTGCCTCTTGTTTCCTGCCAACATCGGTGTGCTGGGGTGATGGGGCCACTTCACCCACACGGCCAGCGTGGACTGCAGGAAAAGAGGAGAGTTGTCACCATATAGCCCAGGGTGGGAGAAGCATCAACAGAAGTGGCCCTGAGCCAGCAGGGTTAACACGAAAGGGCCATCACACTCACCGAGCACTCCTCCTCTGAGGTCTGCACACAGCCTGACTTGTCGTTCCGCACACAGCAAGCAGAGTGCTTCTCCTTCTCCCGCTTGGCACTGATGAAGCTGTGCACTTGCTGGTCCTGCCTCATGCACGGTGAGAACTTGGCCCCGAGGTGGATCAGGGCCTCCTGGCAGAGATGGAAACACTCAGCTAAGCCATGGGGCAGGCAATGATTGGCTGGGATAAAGCAGGCTGGGGGAACTGCAAGGTGTACCCCTATCAGGACTCAAGGGACCAGGGACAAGCCCTACATGATGAAGCCCAACTTCAGGCATACTCTCAGTATTCACGTTGAAGAAGTCAAACCCAGAACAAAAGTTCAGGGCTTTCCTTGTCCATGACCTTGGAAAGGCCAGTACTGTGGCTGGGCAGGGAAACTGGGACACAACAGCCATTCCCAGGGGGAATGGTGTCAGAAAGCTGGCACACCCCATACAACTCCTGCATTTTCTCTAGCCCATGCTTGGCTTTGCAGGAACAGGGTACAAAGCAGGAGTGCCAAGGCCCAATCTCCAGGTAACCCATTCTTCAGATGGTTGGTGCCAAAAGCACCGCCTGCACCCTGTCAATGACAGCAGGCTCTATGGAAGGTTCAACTAGCAAGCATCAAGCTCCAGCCCCTGGAGTGGCACGGCTGCAGCATGCAGTTCCCCATCAGCCCACCAGCAGTTCCAGGCAATGGCACTCACTGAGCTGGGGCCAATCCAGAAGTTTTCCTGCTGAACGTATTTGACATTTTCATAAACCCCTCTGTTTCGTAAGACCTGCAAGGAGAGAAAGTGAGAGCCCCATGAACTCCTGCACACAGGGGAGCAGGGCAGGCAGCCGGGGCTGGTGGAAACAGCACCCAGGATGAACAGAAATCCCCACGGCCACGGACTGGGTGCATGGTTCTCTCAAACTGGTCTTTTGCAGGATCACTGATAAACCCCCATCAAGGCACGAGCATCTTCATCAAGATTTCATTTAAAATGTCTATCTCTGGCTACTTCAAGAAATCCCTGGGCCTGGAGACCTGGGGGTAGCTTGAGAGCCTGCAAAAAGCTTCACAGCTCAGAAGCCTAAGCAGCATTTGTTGGCAGCACAGCCCCAGGTGCTGGTGTCAGTGCTCTGAAAGCTGTCAGATACTTAGGTGAGAAGTTCCCCAGGGCATCCCCTGCATGGAGTGAGGACATAGCTGTAGAGATATGTACCTCAGAGACCTTAACAACAGTGGGAAGGCTACAAACAGCTTCAAGATCAGCTCTCAAAGTCAGACAGGTCAGTTTTTCTCCTGGCAGAAGCAAAATCCTGCAACTTTTGCAAAAACTTAGGTTTGAAATATTTCCCTGCTATGGACATCCTTCTGGTCACCAGGAGGGGAACGGGTAGTTTGAAAGGGCTCCCAGTGCAGACACAACTAGAGCCTGCAAAGAGTCCACCATGATTTGTGCCAGTTATAATTTGAGGTCAGAGCAATGCGGCTGCAGGAGGTACAAGGCTGCATGGGGGCTCACAGAGATGCTGCAGGCAGCCCCCAAGCATGGATACCCAGCATTCAACTGTCAAAGCCATTAGACAAGTAGCCAATATGCTGCAGACTACAACACAATCACACTCCTGGCAAATCAGGGGGATTTACTTACTGAATCAACAGTTTCATGTTGCGAGAACCCCACAGGGGCAATGCCGTAGATGCACACAGCAAGGATGGTAATGAGTGAATGCACAAAGGTGACCCAGTAAGTGAAGAAAGGCCTGGATGAAGGAAAAGGGAAAAGATCAGAGGCAGAAACCCAGGCACACAGGAGAAAAGCTGCTGTTTTTTCCTAGGAACCTTGACAGAATCTAAGGTACATAGCCGGGGTGCACAGGATTGGAGACAATGACATAAGGTCTTGCTGGCACAGACCCTCTTTACTCCAACTCCCCCATTGCACTGGGCAAACCACCTTTTTCCAAGAAAACATCCATGAGAACATATAAGCCTGATGCCAAAGTGTGTTGTGTGTCTGAATTAATGACTTTAGGGGAATGATCAGAGGTAGAGATTCAGAGCCTTCCTGTTCATCGCAGCACAGTGATGGTGGGACAGAGATCTGCAGGCCCTCCAGGTAGCAGAGATACAGACACCTAACACAATGTGAGGAGCAGGGTGAGCTCCCAGTGCATGGTGATGCACTGGGACTAACATGCACTGTACGTCAATGGATACAGACTGGGGAGGTCTTAGCAGCAGTTTCACCCAACCACCCTGAGGCAGTGGCCTATGTCACCAGGGGACAACAGCAATCAATTACTCGTTTTGCTGGGACTAAGTCTATGACTGCAGGTCTCACCTGTGATCATCCATGTCCTCGATCTGCTGCTTCACATAGGTGTCGATGCGCTTACAGTACAACAATCGCAACCCCAATTACTAGTCCAAATCAATTACTATCCCAATCAATTACTGGTTTTGTTGGGACCAAGTCTATGACTGCAGCTCTCACCTGTGATCATCCATGTCCTCGATCTGCCGCTTGACATAGCTGTCGATGCGTTTGCGGTACGTGCGGTTCGTCAGCTTCCCAACCATGCCCAGGCCATACGGCCTCTTCTCCTTGGCAAAGAGCTTCCTGACAGGGACAGCTATGCGCTGGCCACGCTTCTGTGGGCTGACACTCACCACCTCCTGCCGCAAGCGGACCTTGGGCTGTGCCAGGGCCCCATCCTTCTGCTTCCTCCAGCCTCGCTCCAGTGGGCTGAAATAAAAAGCGGGATAGCAGTGGTTTCCTTCTGCATGGCACAGTAATGGGGACCAGCCCTTCCCTGGTCTTTGGTGGCAGCAGACCCTGTCTTTCCCACCACGGCTGAGCTGAGCAGCAGCTAATGGCAGACAAGGTGCCATGGAGTAGAAGCTGTATTTCAAAGGGTTACCCAGTGTCAGTTGATGAAAGTGCAGGACTGCACACTGAAGGTGTGTAAGGCAGCTGTGCCACACTAAGCCCCACCAGTGAGGAGCTCTCAAGGCTTTAAAGAACTGTTTCAGCAACAGGCTAAAATGGGGAGGCTGCATCTGGGCACATCTGCAGCCTCAGGCACATCTATTTCTTCCTCTGCTTCATTCCTCTTACTCTGCCCTCTGCTAGGAAATGGAAGTATACTTTAGCCCAGCATTGGAAATCCCTACTCTTAAAGCACTTTACTGTGACTGAGCTGTTAAGTCAAACCCCCATGCACACCAAATCAGACAAGAAGAGCAGGAATCCAAGCAGCTTCCCTGACCAAGAAAGTGACACTGTCATGTACTGCAATCCGTGCCAGTTACCTCTCACAATCTGCCTCCCATTCTTCCCTTTACTTGCACCAGTAAGTGCAAGAGAACAACAAAACCAGGCTTCAACAACACACTAAAAATCCCAAGCAGCACTGTCTAAAGGAAGGCTTTTCACCAAAACGGTATGTGATGAACGTTGCATAAGCTGTTGGTGAACAGTACCTGCTTTGGAAGTCTCGTCATATTCAGATGTTTCTGTGTTTATTTGCTCTTTAACAGCAGTCTGGAGGTCAGGTCTGCAGCATTCAGACCCTGACGAAAAAATCCCTACCTACCATTTCACCCTTGCTCACTGCCTAGCAATATGGCAGGTATGTCCCTCATATGCACTCTAGTCTAATTTACCTTCTCTGGCTTTCTAAACAACCCCCTCTGCACAAAGATAATGGTTTTCAGAATTGGTCAGACAATCCAGCTGACAGACTTTGTTCTAGAAGATCAGCATCTCGGAGAGATCATGAAGTATGGACAAGTAACAGCATGAGGGAGAATGTGAACCTCCTCAGCCAAAAACACCGCTGTGAAACTTCAGCTATTTTCAAGGTTGCACCTTGCAGAAGATGCATTTTTATAAAGCTGAAAGTCCCAGCTTCCCTTTGGGAAGCCCTTCTTCAACAGAAAGCATAGATTTCACTGCAGCCTGCACTTGCCCCAGGAGTTCAAATGGTTTCTGTGTTACAGACATGATGGTTCCTAATATTTTCAGTGCTCGGCTATCTGCGTATGCCAAAATAAACACCCAGCCACCTAAAAGGACATCTGACTACGACTCTGGTAATAGTTCCCTGCAGTGTGAAAGAAATGCATTTTCCTCAGTAAATAAAACCATTTAAGGAGATCCAAATGGAGATAAGAAGACTGAGACCATCTCACAGGAGTGACAACAAACTCCCACCTTTTGCCACTTCCACTTATGTTAAGACTGAGTCAAATTCTTGGAAACACTTGAAGGGAAAGCGCCAACACAGCAAGATGGGCTGTGAACAGCAGAACCACAACAAGGACCTCCCTGTCTGCTCCAAGTTCACACCCAGCAGAGCTCTCTGCTGGGGTGAGCTGCCAGCTAAGCTAGAGCTGACTCGGAAACAACACAGGCAATTACTCAGTACCAGTTACTCAGGTGGAAAAAATCTAGGCATATGGTACAGTACCACCCACATATTTGTAGGGCTCTCAGCATCAGTGCCACACCTTTCTCTCATTTCAAGTGAGGAATGTAGCCCAGCTCGACACTCAGCAATGCTTCACACCACTCCTTGGAGCAAGACAACAGCTCCTGGTGACTGTGGCAATGGCAACAGCCTTCTTGTCTTTGCTACATTCTCCATAGCCAAAGGCTGGGCCCCCAGCATCCTCAGAGCTGAATAAGAGTGTCTTTTGCTTCTTCAAGGCATGATACAGTCTCTGAAACACATCACGTGAGGCTGGAAGTTGCTGGAGAGACAGCAGAGGTGGCCTCAGAGTCACCTTTCACATGCACGGGTAGCTGGGGCAGGAGGTCTTGAACTGGCCTTAAAGAAAACCCATTATTGCACTGCTCTGCGCTCTGCACTGAACCACAGTACTTGGATACTGGCTTCCTCTCTGACTATTCCACTCTGAACAGGTTGGCCACCTCATGTGGGTGGTTTTAGCAGCTTCCAGGTGGATACTCACAGTAGCAAGTGGCTTCTTTCAAGCTCATTTTTGTCCAAGGCCCCTCCTGTGAGGTCCGTCTGATCCTGAGGTTTCACCTCTGCATCTTTGATTGCAGCTTCTGATGGTGACTCAAACACTTCATCTGGGTAAGTAGAGAGCTCCTCATGAAGGACTCCTTCCTGGGCAGAGAAACAGAAGTCCCATCAGAAGAAGCCAGCATCACATTAAGACACCAGCCCTGGCACAAAGCAGTGCTGTTCTCCACAACGCAGTCCTGCCGGACCTCGAGTCCTGCACCGCCTCTGCTGCCAGTACCACACCGGAGCCCTGCCCCTCACCCGAGCAAAGAAAGAAGTGTCGAGCTCATCTGGAAAATCCACCGTGTCCTCCTCCAGGAAACTTGCTGGGGTGAAGCTGCGCCGCTGAGCTCTCCTCAGGGTGCTGTCCTTCACTGAGCGCCCCTGCAGTCACAGGAAGAAAACTGCATCAAGCCGCTGAGAAACCTGAACCCCAGGCACATGCAGGATCACCCCACAGGGAGCCCAGGCGTTGAGCTGGTTCACACTTGTGTGTGGAGCACAGCAGACCTGCTGATGCGCAACACCTTCCTGGTGAGACTCACAGGTGTTACCCTACTTATCAATCCACAGGGCCCATCTCCTATGTGGTGAGACTTGCAACATGCTCCTCTACCACGATTGTACAATGTTGACCAAACCAAATTGACAGGTGGTACTAGGCACAGCAAAAAGGTCCCAGGAAAGCCGACACATAGCAGGATGAAGAGATTTGCATAGTAACAGCCCCAGGTACTTCTGATATTTCATGACCACTGACCAGCTGCAGATGGACTGCCAAGAGGTCCAGGCAGGCTGAACTGGACCTGATGGAACGCTCTAAGGCTGCTGGCTGTGGGAATCAAAGCCTTCAGGCCAATAAAGGGAAAACAAGACCTGTACCAAAACCTAGCTATCATCCCTACTTTTTGCAAATTCTGCCTCCTAGGCACATGGCTGAAACAGAACAGGAGAAGGCTTAGTTTCTTCCCTTCCACCACTGCTCTCCCATCCTCTCCACTCAGAAGCTCCTTCCCTCTCTCCTTCTCTCAGGACTGAGCCCCATCCTGCCACCAGACCGGTGCCTGGTGCCTGCCCCCACAGACAGTACCTTCACCAAAGCTGCAGCTGCGCGGAAACTCATTTTAGCGACAGATTCCCGTTTCCGCCGCCGTGGAAGGCGGTTGAACCCTGAGCGGGAGCTGGTGAAGGAGCAGAGCGATGTGGCGCCAGGTGTGATCGGTGTGTGCGGGATGCTGAAGCCATCATTGTCGTCAGCCATGCGAAAAGCTCGGCCGCGGGCCAAGGGGTCTATGATCTGCAGAGAAAAGCAGCCCATCAGTCCATTCACACCCAAACCCCTCCCTACCAAGCCCTCCTCCCTCCAAGCAAATGTCTTGAGACCATGACAGTGACCTGGTTCCCAGGACTGACCAAGAACCAGGCTGGACAGACCAACAAGATTCCACGATAGGGAGATACGGCATAACCTGTTGCAAGCTAAGCCCTAGTTGTACGCCTCAAACCTAAGTCCTCAAACCTCTCGCCCTGCCCTCCCTTCTCCCCACCTTTTTTTTTTTCTTTTTCTTATTTTCACCCGGAATGTTCCCAGTGCTTACAGGGGACTCCAAACCTCCTTCAGCCCTTCCTGAGCTCTTGGTTCTACTCATCTCCTGTGCCAGTGAGCTCCACAATCAGAGAATGTGCTGTCTGAACAGGAGTTTGAGAAATCCCTGGAAACAGCAACGCTCTTTCTCCAGCTAGTTTCCTTTCTGATACAGGACAGCCCAGGACTTAAACAGTATCCTGTTGAAGCTTAACTGTATATTTACATCTGCTTCCATTAATTAAGTTCTAACAGCTGGAAAAAGCAGGCAACCTTCCAGGAGCTGCAAGCCCTTCTATGGGACTCTTCAGGCCAAAGCTCTCACTTCTTCCAAACATACAAACCAACCTAATGAAAATATTGCCCTCAGCCACAAACCTTGCCTCTGTCCTTACATCATCACAGCTGTGGTTTCTGTAAGACTCCTATGCTTTATCCTAACGTTTTACAAGCTTTTTTTTAACCTGCAGTTGAACACTCAACATGAAGCTTTATGGGCTTACACCTACTGATACCACGCTCTGATTTCATGTAGCCCAAGTAGAGCCCAACAGTATTTCTGAGTCTCCTATGACCAAAGACTAACTGCAAGACACTCTTACTAGCCAGTAAGAAATCAGGGAAGAGCACAACAAGGTGAAATTTGATTGAAAGATGCACAAAATGCTCTGCTTCAGTGACACAGCCAGGCTTCAGGTCACAGACTAACCTGCTTTGAAATCTGTTTCCCTACTTGCCCAGGTTGCAGTGCTGCTCACTAATGCACAGTAACCAACCACATGGGTTACTATCACTGAATGGAGCAGAGGGATATTGTGGGTTAGTTCTGTAGTGCTTGTCACTGGATGTGCTTGACTGGGTCTTGTTCCCTGGGGTCACACTTGAAGGTAGGGAGGAGGGAATTAGGAGATGCCATCTGCAGGCACTCAACACCATTTCTGAGGACCTGTAAGCAGAGCTGTAGTACTGTTAATACAAAAGACACCCTCCAAATTCTTGAAACAGCCAGATATATAAGAGGACAGTAGGTGTGCTTCTGCCTGCATTCTGCTTGGGTCAAGGATCCACTAGGCAATTGTCCTGAGTGATACCAGGTCTGTTACTGTATATTTGAGTCCAGGGTACTGGCCAATCTGTGTACAACAGAATTTTGCCCTTGCAAAATGGCAGCAAAACCCCCCAGCTGAACGCTCTTGGACATGCTGCACACATCTAATCCCCACCATAGTTCACACCATGACAAACACTGCTCTAAGCCTACCACCAAAACAGCTGAGGGACCTCAGCCAACGAGACCAGAGAGAAGGAAGGAGACTGCCAAGCTATATCTGAGACTTGAGAAGTGTCTGAGCACAGAGCCCAGACATGTTGAGGCAGAACTAAGCCCGCAGATAGGTCACAGCTGCCAAAGTGGTAAAGACATTGTGCAGAGAACTCCTGATGGCCTTGAGTCTGTCCCAGATTACTCACCTTTTGCATGCCCAGCTGGCAGGGTCCAACATACAGTGGAGGAGGAGTCTCTGTGCTTGTTAGAGAAATATTGTCCTGACTGGGCAAGTCCATTTCTCGGATGACCTGAGGTTTCAGCTTCCCATACCGCAGACTGCAGTGGCGGAGGCTCTTTCTCTGCCATTTCTGAGTAGCGTCACTGTCTTTGCTCACCCCAAACCAGTCCGCTGTGCCTCTGAAAGATGCCAGCATACAAGTGCAAAGGAGCATTATGTTTGCTTGGACTATGCACATGAGAAGTCCAAAGCCTTGGTGGTCTCTTCCAGCCCAGCCCAATTTAAAGACACACAGAATTCTTCCCCATGAGCATCTCACAGCCTGTCCTCAGCTGGTTTTAGCAACCTGACAGATGCTGGCCAGAAATGTTGAACCATTAACAGCATTCTGTCTCTTAAGACAGAAAATAAATGACAGGGGAGATTTGCTGTGTGGAAAGAACAGTTTGTTCTTATTTTTTCTAAAAAGAAAGAAAAAGATGGAACAGAAACTCAGAAAAGAGCTTGGTGACATTTTAAAACCCATCTATTGAAAACACTTACCATCTCCAGGGCAGCTCTACATCCCCATTGTGGGATTGTACTGTTCCATGGCTCTGGAGCTTCTCCCAAGAGCCACCAGAATTCACTGTTCTCTCCCAGCCTCCCCCCCACTCGCAGGATACTCCCAACTTCTCCATCTCATGCTGCAGGATTTCTATCCTCCTCAAAGGTAACAAGTGTTTGCTCTGGTCCTGATCTCTGCTAAGGCAAACACACACAGCTCTAAGCTGCTGGTTGCAGAGGCAGGAGCACAAGGTTGCAGCCTTGAGGTACGTTTGCTGCCAAGTGGCAGCTGTGACAGAAGAGCAGTTGATCAGAAGCAAAATCCCAAGGAAGGCAGAGAGGGAGCAAATAAGTCAGACTAACAACCTACTTCACATACTGCAGGGCAGCTGATACCCTACACCTACAAAGATCATCATAGCCCTGCCAGTGTTTTCCCACTGTGATTAATCTTTCCTCCGAAGATGACAAGCTGCGTCAGCCTACAGTTGTCTGCCCCAGATGCCAAAACCTGAAAGTCCTTTCAAGCCAAATCCCATGCCCTGGCCTCAGAACCCCTGCTCAGGAGCAGGATTTCCAGCTGCTGAGAAGCAAGACCTCCCAGATCACAAAGCGATTATGAAAAGATACACTGGAATAAAGGCTGCATTAAATTTAGAATTAGGTCACACACAGGGGAACTGAGTCACTGCACTACAGACAGGGAAGTATTCCCGTGTTTTGTACAACACCAAGCAAAAACCATCAACCAACAGGTGAAGATCTCCTGCCACCATGTAAAAAGATGTGAATTTGAAATCCACAGCCTTTCCAGCTAAAATCTCCAGATGCAAACCAGCATACATTGCCCTCAGCCTCTCCAGAGGATCCAGAACAGATTCTTTGGCTGGCGTGAGGTTACCTGAGCAATTGCTGGATCTCACCTGACCTCATTAACCCAACTGTCTTCAAATGCCTCCAGCAAGTCCAGAGGGGCCAGACCTCAGAGACAGAGCTACAGGCATGTCTCAGAGTACTGCTCTGCTTCCACAGACCCACATCTCATCAGAGCAATCTCTCTCTGTCTGGAGCAGAAGGGTCAGCACCTGGCCTGACAGACCCAAACCAAGCCTACAGCACAGAGGTGATGTGCTCTGGCCATGCAGACGCAGCACAACACACACCACAAAACAGTCTTACAACTCAGAGGGCTTCTCATACACAGCTGTAACCGGTATTTCATCAAGAAGGTGACCTTGGGTAACAAGTCCATACATGAGGCCGCTCCTCAATGGGAAAAGTTGGAGGGTCATTTGTGCCGTATGAGCATCTTGATGAATGGCCCATTTTACCAACAGTAGAGCCTCAAAGTCCTCTGAAACTGTGCTCCCGCTAGTCTGCAAGGACAAGCACTACCACAGCCGTTTTGTACTGCAAGGACCACTCCTGAGCTGCATAGACACCACTGGGCCAGAGTAAAGAGCTGTACTACTCTCTGATCATAGTCAAGATAGGCCAGGAGAGCTGACTATGATTTAGGGTATCTGGGAAGATACTGAATGCCTATGTCCAGCTGGGGAGCCCCATCACATCCTATGCACTGTAACAAGGAATGAACCAGCATCAGAGGTCAGCTCTTGCTCTTCTATTGCACTGAGCAAACTAGCTTTTAACGCCTAAAACCAATAAGCAGTTGTCAAAGGTGGACACAGTGCCAGAGTGAGGAAGGTGGGACAGGAATGGACTCCTGGGCCAGTCCACTCTAGGTATAGTCCTCACCATGCACAAAGTCACATTTCCTGTCTCATTTAAAAGTCTACTAAGCTCCAGTCTTGGGGTGGTGGTTGATGGGCCATTGTGCCTCCTGGAGTGGCTCATCTCCTTGGTGCTAGCTAAACGAAGACCTCCACCTCAGAAAAAAGACAGTCATATTTAGATTAGAACAAGCCATGTTGTCAACAATGAATGAGTGGATGTTATATTCCATTCCCAGCTTCTGAGCCCCGTCTGGACCAACATAACTAGCATCTGTTCAGTGCTGCTTCCTCTCCTTCCCCTTCTGCCCCAAGGAGGCTTTAGGGCCAACATATGCATATACCACATGTTGCATTGATGCTAGCAAAGGCAGGCTGAGCTGTGGCTGCCCTGGGGAGATATTCCAGCTGTGGTGAACACCAGGAGGTTGACAGCTTGTTAGGAAAGGCAGGAGGGAGTGAGGCTGGCAGGTGGACAGCTTGTTAGTCCATGCTACTTATTGACAGCTGCCTACATATTTAGTAGGAGTGACAACTGGTTTTTGTTAGAAGCGCACATGAACTTTCTCACTCCGGTCTGTTTGCAGGCCTCCTGGCCAGCCCTGGGAAGGCAGCACAGTCCCAGCAACAGACAGGATCTGTGCAGGTCACAACAGCCCTTGCACACACATGCAGGGGTGGGTTTCACACTCAGTGCTACCAGTACCTGAAAAACGATCGGGGCAGGGACTGCCGCTTTCTCAGGGAACTCCTGCCCACCCGGTGCCCCTGAGCAGGCAGGGTCTGACTCCTCTGAAACCGTACCTGTCTGCTGCAAAGAAAAGACAGCTGAAGGGAGGGAACTTGTAGGGCTGTGCAGGGGAGCAGCCACCTGCATCCAACACTTCCCCATCTTCTTCCATAGCCCCATCCACAGCAGTACATGGCAGCGGCTTCCACCTGAGAGCATCACCTCAGAGAAACAACCAAACTCAAGCCACACAACAGCACCTTTGAACCCAGGAGGCTGCTGAATCCTTTTGGTGCATCTGCACCTCTGACGTACGCCTTCCATTGCTCTTGAAGATACCAGGGATACTGCGACCTACCTCAACCCCTAGATCTCTATGATCTGCCTTCTGCACAGAAGCCCAGCTACAGATCCCACTGGTTGGCTTTGGACACTTTTGTATCTGCTCAGATACAGGTTTCTGCTGCCACAGGAAGTGCCCTGGGCCCATTTGGGTTGACCCTGACAGGATCTTGCCGGGTGCACCTGTCTCACATCTGTCTGCTGCCTTGCATGGACATCTTAGATACCCCAGGAGACTGGAAGTAGTGTTAGCTGCCTATACTCAGACACATGAATAACTCCCACATCATTTGTAAGACTTGACCTTAGGCTCCCTAATGTATCCTCCAAGCCCCAGGGAACAAGATGGTGTGGAGTCCTGCTGCCAGAGAAGTTTCACATCCCAAGGGCTGTGTTAAGCAGAAAACCTAGCAGTCAGCTTCACTGGACTCAGAAAACAGATCTCCAGGATACTTCTACAGATGCATGGTCTGCAATTCCCCACTGCAGCCCTACCTCTGCTAAACAGAGCACATGCTTTTAGGCCTTCCCTTGGTACTTTCCAGATCCCTATCCCTGTTTCTGATTCACTTCTTTCATGCTTTTATTGCTAATGTTATGTCATGTGTGCATCTCCTGCAGTTCTGCCCCTTGGAAAGTCTTTCCCACTGCTGCACCTGCTCTCCTACCCACATCCTACAGCACTCTGTAGACACTGCTCACAAACTGAGTCCTCCAGGAGGAAGAGCACTGGCTCTCCCCCATGCTGCACAACAGCAGATGAAACAATCAGCACTGCAAAACAGCAGTGACACCACCACATACATACTCTGAGCAGGAGACTCCCAGGATGTCACAGGGTCTGTTGGTGCAACAGCCGCACGTCTGCCTGCTGCCCCAGTGCTAGGCAAGACATTAGCATCTCCCTTAGTTGGAGCTTCACCACCACCGTCCAGCACTCCTCCTTTACTCACTGTAGCTCCATATGCCTCATCTGTCTTATAGTATAGTAGCACTGGGAGAAAATTTGTTCTCCCAGCACCAAAGTGGTTTGCAGTTCCCCAACCTCTCCACCCTACACAAAAACTGTTGTTGTGAGGACCTCTGGGGAAGAAGGTTACCCTGGCCCTGCCACACAATCCTTCTTGTTAGGACCTTTCCAGCACCCCCCCAGAATATCCCCTCACCCTTGATATGCTCTTGCCCAGTTGCCCTGGCAAGGAGTGGGACAAGGTCAGCAGATACTGCTTCATGGCTCAGTCCTCCCAACCTCACAAGAAGCAGGATCACAGAGAGCTGCTGTGGGAGAGCTTCACTATCAAGACAGCTGGGGAATGTCTGAGGCAAAGGGAAACACTGTGTGGGAGGTAAGTCTTTCCCATAGCTGAAAAGTTGCTTCTCTGTAAGTGGGCGAAGCCTAGCTGACTGAAGTGCCCCTGACCTGTGGAGCTCCAGGGATGCTCCTGGGATCCAGGCAGGTCTAACACTGCCAGAGAAACAAGCCAGGCATCTCAGGAGAGCAGCTGAGAGAGCCACTCCCTTTGAATAAACTGGGATAAGCCTTTGCCACTGGGGGGGATGGAGCATCAGCTCTGGGGCTGAGTTTCAGAGAGTCCTGGATCTTGGGGACAAATGATAACCCTCTGTAAAGGTGTGGGGCATAGGACCCAGACAGCTTCTCTCTACTCTCCGTCACCCCCCATAACCACCTCAAGGACCATCAATGAACTAATGCTAGGATCCAAGCTGCTGAGAGTCATGGACTGCTTAGGATGGGCTTCTGTTTCCCCCAGCAATCATATGCTCTCAGATACAAAGCAAGGCCAGCTCACTACTTCATACAGTCTTAGCTAAACATCACGGCCTAAGGTATCCTGCTACTAAAAAACAGCCAGCTCCCTGGGGAATAGGGACAGACAAAATTTGTCTCTAAGCGACACTGTCCTGATCACTACAATCTTCCTCCCAGAACTTACCTCCTTACTTACTAAACACAGGCTATATAGCACCCATGGCTTATGTACTGGGGACCTATTTGCACCTATCCTCTTCTGCAACCTCATGATAGATAACAAGAGAGACAACCTAATTCTGCTGTGATACGCCTCTGAAGTGCCAGACCATGCGGAAAGCAGAGGACCATAAGTCCACAAGTAAAGGACAGAATCTTCTAAAGCAGGCTCCAGGAATTCAGTTTCTCACCTCTTGATGGTCTGGGTAATCGAGGTCTGCCGTTGTAGCACCGGTCTCCTCACCTCGTTGGGTAGGGAGGGTATGCGTGTGTTGTCAGCTGGCATGCTCACACTTCGCAGAAAGGCCTGGCGTCTTGTGGGCTGCACAGGAAAGTAGGAGGGGGTCAGTGTTCTCAGAATGATGCTCTACAAGGCCAGACAGCTTGTGCAACATCTAGTTAGCAATTCAACAGCCGCCCAACACTCCAGACACAAGCCGGGTGCATGCAGTTGGGCAGCAAAACTAGGATAATAAGGACTATGTTCATATTAGCCAGGAATGGCTCTGCAGAACAGAACAGTTAGCATCAAGGACACAGCACCTGTGTGCTGCAGTGGGTCTCAGTTCAGAGCAGCTCTAGCCTGGACCATCAACTGATGTACATTTGTAGATGGGATGTATTACATGAGCGCCTGCAACATATGCTCCTGGCTGTTTTCGAGCCAGAAGGAAACCAATCACACACTCCTAGACCACCCCACAAGGTGGAGAGAAGCACAGTAACTGAGATTTCCTTCATAAATTACTCTGGATCTGCACTAAAAGCCTGCGAGAGCTGTGAGTGGTTGTGTGCTGTAGCTACTGCCTGGTGCAGCCTAAGCAAGCTGGGAAAGTCACATCAGCTTTGTTCATAACCTAATTGTCTGGACACACTCCGGTCTAAAAGCTCCTGGCATGTCTTGAGTGATGTCACCTACCAAATATGACACAACTCACCAGACTGCTCTCAGCTCATACAACTGCCTCCTGACTCCCCAGGGCTGTTCTGGGCTAATTTTTCATCAGCTTGGCAGAGACATCATTTCCCATTTGTAAAATGCAGGCCAAGCAGACTGCCCCTCTGGCAAGTGAAGCTCTGATCAACTGCTTTTCTGGTCAGTCTGCCTCAAGACTACTTGCTACTCTATCCCCTCTGGCCCAGAAAGTTAATAATTCCCACTAATATTAACATGTTCTGTTAAGTTTTATGTGAAACAATGCATAGATACTCAGGTTATAAGTCAAAGGAGCCCACTATGCACTCTTATCCTGACAGCCTGTGCTGGGCACACTGGAGCTCCAGAGAACATCAACTCCACCAGCTTCCATCCTAAGTACAGAGTATCTCTCCAGGGATTTCAGGTAAGAGAGCATCCATCAAAGCCTTAAATAAATTATTTGGAAAGTTTCAACCTGCACTGTTAAAACCCTGTATTCCACTTCCAATCCTGCAGACTGAATCCTGATCACTTTCCTTCCCAGGTAAGACCAGAACCAAGATTTATCTGCCAGAATCCCTCAGATAACTGAAGTCTGTTTTAGTCCCTCAATCAACGAATGGCAAAGAGGCCAGTCTTTGCCATTCCAAGTGCAACATAAGCTCTCTCTTAAGATCAGCTTGTCCTCAACTCCCCCTCCAGCTGTCTCACCCTCCATTTCTCTGATGGCTAAACCATAACATTCCCATAAGCAACTGAACCCAGGCACAGCCATGGAACTGGGCAGGAAGAATACTCTGGCTCTGCCTTCAATGCAGGCAATCTCTGTTCCTGCAGTAAGGTCACATGAAGAGCCAGCAGTCATCCCACCAGGTCTCACCAGTGAGAGCTTTTGCCACCTTGTAGCAGAAATTTCTGTTATTCTTCCTATACCCAGCACAAATACAGATGTTTTTTGCACAGTTCCTATTAACCTATTGCCCCATCTCTACTTCACCATCCTTCAATTTTACTTATCTCTCATTCCAGATTATTTTCTTCTGTTCCTCATGCTGGTAACAGCTTTGAGTTGCCAGTAACTGTTCTTTCTCTGCTGTTACTGACAACAGCCTGTCATTGTCTTGGCTATTCATAAGTCAGATTCATTCCCTGCTCATTTCAGTATAAACTCCAGCACTTCTAGACCCTTGTGTTTGTCTAGGGAGCCCTTCACTCCTCCAGTCCCCTTAAGAAATGCTTGTTTGAATACTTCACTCCCACATCCCTCAGCCAGGACACTTTTCACAGTCCTCACATCCAAACAGTCACGTCCACTGATCTGAGTGCATCAGCCACCCACCCTCATCCCTCCCACATCTCCTTTAAGGGGGAGTTAATTACCGATCATGAATTTACTCAATGGCTCTGCCATGGTGGTCTTGTGACCTGCCATCACACTGCATTTCTCTCAGCTGGGACTGCTGGACACTACAGGCACAGGCATGCTCTCAGTGCAGTGGGGCTCTGCAACCCACCCACAGCTTCACAGACCCTCCCTTCTGCCCCCAGCTCCTGTACCTGCACAGGCTGCGGCTCTTCTGGCACCGACACAGGCACCGGCACTGGGATGTCTAGTTTCAACCATGGTGGCTTCTTCCGCTGTAAACTGCTTGTGCTGTCGTGTCGCGTCTCCGACATTGTCCCACGTTTGTCCTCAG